GCCACCCGCCAGGCGCTTGTTGACGACGAGTCCCTCTTCACGGACCTCGGCTTCACGCCCGGAGAAGGATCCCTCTTGGCCGACAGCTGCATCCAGTTCAACTTCTTCGTGGACGACGCCGCCGAGATCATGGGGACGCAAGCCTTGCGCAACCCGGACTGCCAGGAGGAGTGCATGCTCTGCGCCGACTCGACCACCCCGTGCGCGACGTGCTTTGTGGACCAGCCGGCCATCACGAAGTGCGACGACCCTTCGAGCAAGGTCTTCTACGACGGCATCCACTTCACCACAGACTTCCACCTCATCTTCGGAGAGGCCATCAGGCAGTGCTCCAAGGACAGCCCCAACTTCGACCGCCCGTTCGTGGGAGTTATGTGCCCGGAGGAGCACTGGTACTGAGCGTGATGACAGACGGGGTGGCAGTGTTGCTTGCCTCAACCAAAACCGTCGCCGTTTTTTCTTTTCGCTGTGAGGTGGTGCACTGGCTGGTGCGCCGCCTCGAAAAAACTGTCCGGGAGACTACTGTACACGTATACGCCCTTTGTAAAGCTCACGGACTTGTAGACTGTACGGCATTCTGGTGGGGGGGCATTTCGGCAGCGTGTGTAGAGGTCGGTTCAACCTCTCTAGGGGTGGTCACGTCGAATCACATTATCATCACTCCTTCAGGGGTGGTTGGGTTCCAAAGGAATGCGCCCGTAGAAAAGTTAAAGACAAATATAGTAGTCGAGGTTCGACTTGGTGAAGTCATGAGGACGCTCCGAGAATACGATTGGTGTGAATGACAACAGGGACGCGAGTGAAACTTGTCGTCCAATTGCTCGCATATATGTGTGGTAGGCTCCCTGTTGGGTGGATTGATGTGGTGTGTTGCGTATTTGACAGTTGGACCGTGTTCGTTTGTTCGTGGAACGGCGACCTGCACCAGGTGCACGGTTGTCGCGAGGGAGCTTGTGAACATGTGCTGTAGACCAATAGTCACAGGTACGACAGTAGTCTAGGCATCAAGTTTTCAGTTTGGTGTTCACGGTGTTTAGAGGACACGTAAATCATTGGGAACCGGAAACAGTATAGAGGGGTGGCTACTGTCTTTCGACTGTGAACGTGACCCTTGATTGTGGCGATAGGTACGTGTAGCGTAGTCGTGGGTAAACTTCCGCCCTTACAGCTTTATTCAAAGAGTAGAGGCAGACCGGAATTTAGTTGTAGGAATAAAATGCTCGGTCGTGGCTGACTGACTCAGATGGTGAAACCTACTAGTCTAGAAGATATGCCTCGCAAAACGTTTGTGGGTACCAGTAGGTTTAGTCTACGTTGTATATCTTTGAGTGAAAACATGTCGCATTGAAAAAAGTGAAAGGCAAACATATCCTTGACGTATGCACGAAAACAGGTATGATGAAGGGACTTGTGAATCCCCTTCCAAGCGTTGCCAAAAGTGTGGTCGCCCTTTTGGGGCAGAGTCGACTCTAGGAAGACACTAAAGATCTGATGCGCTTTCCGTGGGAGGGCTACTCGCAAGCACGACCGCTTAAGCAGGCACACCCGTGCTCGCCCGCCACGCCTCAAGAGAGGATTGTTTTGGCAATGCTGGATCTGTGTCGAGGTATTGACCCGGGCACGGAATAGAAACGATGCCGGTTGAAAGTGCACGACCAAGGGGGGAAAAGAGAAGACGGGATGATACCGGGATGATACCGGTCGCCTCGAGGGCAGAGAACTAAGCACGACGTTTGCATACAACCAAGACGTATCATCGATGCTTGCGCGTGCTGAGTCTTGCCACACGTCAAACCTTGTTCTTGGTCAACGGTGCGATGCCACTCGCCCTGTCTGAGAAAAAGGTGCGGGTTCAAACAGTTTTACAGAGAAGTCCTCCCGTAGGCTGAGCGACAACAAAGTTTGGAAGATGTCCAGTTGCAATCAAAAACAACACTTTTCCTCTAGAGAAAGAAGTGCAGCCACAAGAACCGTCAAGGATATCGCTGAACATTATTCCGCGCAGTAACTGCGTGTTTCCGCAAGAATAGACACTGCACTGCACTCCCATCGCCCTATTTGGGCCGATGCACGAAAAGATAGGAAAAATTCGATGTCTCTCGACGGGTGTCATAGCTCTCTACGGGTGTTCCCCGCATGCAAAATCATATTCAGAAAGAACGCCCGCAACAAAAATGCTGACAAAGGTGAAGGAAAACTCTACATCCGTCGTCGAGCTTGCTACGACAGGTCACGCCAATTTCGCTAGCCTCTCTCTACCACGAATTCAACGTAAGCAGCAAGGCTGCTTCCCTCCGGAACACGTATTTATCTTCCCACAACGCGACAAGACAGCCTAACGGTAACATCATCTATCTGTGTAAAGATGTTCATTCGTCATCGTCATCGTCGTCGTCATCATCATCATCATCATCTTCGTCCATGTCTTGCTGGTCTCCGCTTCCTTCCTCTTCGTCCCCTCCGCTATCATCGTCGTCATCTTCCTCTCCGCTTTCTGCAACCAGTACGCACGGTGTATTTCAGGGGATGAGCCCGTGGCAGCATGCGGTACTACAGCAGATGCAACTCGACCGCTGCCCGCAAGTGTCCACCACAGCAACGTGCTAGTGAGTGTCGTGCGAGTTTTCGGTGATTCGTGCCATTGGGGGCGATTTCACGCGAGAGAGAAACAAAATGGAATTTCCTCATTTTGTGCAGGTCGTGCTGCTTCACGGCAAGAGGGGGGGGCATGGTCATGCCTTTCCCCCCGCTAGTGGACTGGGGACCATGGCCACGCCTTTCCCCCCGCTTGTTGACTCCAAGGAGTGGACTACCGAAGCCGTCAAGGTGTTCGATGAATCCAACCCAGGGAGTCAGCACTGCAGGCGTGGTTTATTTCGCCCTTATTTTGCGGCTTGGGGTGGCATAAATTTCAAATTTCAACTGCCTGTCCCATGGTGCATGACATGCGCACCGCAACATTTCCAACACAAAAAAACTCAACAAAAACATGAACACGACTTTCGACAAGAACCGACCTGGTCCCCCTCCTTCTTCCTCTTCCTCGGCATCGTCGTCCTCCTCATCTTCGTCCTCTTCCCTGTACACCGACTCCGGCGTGTCCATCGCCCTTGCCCCAGCCGCGTCCCGCCTGCACACCCACCGCCAAAACCAACCAAAAAAATAGAGGAAGATACGCCAATGAATACAAGCCCGTACCTAGGACCATTTTGGCACGAATTTGAGCATCCCGATGGACCCTATATTTCTAAACAGAGCGGTATACTCTGCATGCATGACTTCGCACGGCCATCGAGGAAAACAAGGGAACTGCTCGACGTGTCTCGCTATGAAGTTAGAGACGAGCGAGGGAGAAGAAGATCGCACAGGGACACCAGAATGGCTGTCGCATGTCCAACTGATTGGGGACCCATGCTCTCGAACGTGGAAGAGGCTGTAAGCTACCGTAAAATGGGATGGGACCGAGGCGTGCCACTGTGACCTCTTGCCTTGGTTCGGACGACATGGACACCGGCAACCTAGCTGCGTGATGGCTCGGGCCACTCGCTACGGACATCAGCAAACAAGATCAACGCCTGCGTGATTGCTTGAACCAACCGCTGCTGGCCAGTGCCGCTGCAGAAGCCTTCATACAGCACCTCGATCGACGTGACCACACTCCAAACACTCAACAACCATGAAGGTGGAACCATCGGCTTGCCTACCCACACAGAGGGTACAGACACCTTTTTTCCCCGTCTGCTGCTCTCATTCTTGTGCCTACCACACTTGAAGAACCCTTTGTCCTTGCCTGCTGCTCTCAGCCTTAGCGCGGGCGAGAAGAAGATCGAGCCTCCCGTGTAGCTGGATCAGCTTGGGGAAGGACGCGACTCTGCGGTCGATCAGCTGGTGCAACAACGCCAACTTATCCGGCAAACCCGGGACGGAAACGAGGTAACCCAGGTGGCATGACAGGAGGGCTCGTATCCACCGCCCCAGGGAGGCCGCGCGGTTGGGACGCTTCTCCAGCTTGGCCACCACCCTGGAGGGGTGACGCAGATTGGGGGGGGGGGGGGGGTGAACTGACGGCAAGGGCAATCAATGGGGCGGCCAAGTTCTTCACGGATACGCAAGACTCGATATTATGCATATTCCGGGTCGAAAACTTCCGACTACAAGTAACGTGCAGCGGAGAGCACAGCAGTGTCACGAAAAGGGGGTAGTGGCCAATGCAACACAACGCCCAAAAATAGCATGCCTGACTGCCAGGTACGTAACACGTTGTCCAAGCTCGAAGACTCGAAGAGCCAAGCGCACCACACCCAACCAAAAACAAGAATTACGAATCTGTATACAGCAGTCTTTTTTACGATATTGCGGCACCTATTTACCTGAGCAAGAACTGCAGAACCTTGGAAGAAGGCAGGCGCTCAACCGTTGCCTCGATCACGCCCTGGTCGACCACGTCAAGGCACTGCTCCAGCAAACTCTCGTCCCCCGATTGCAGCGCCTGCCGGGAGGCACGAGCGGAGCAAGCGATGATTTCGCGTAACCCCCCACCAAGAAAAAATATTCAACTCGAGGGGTCAGTGCCGACGCGGCAGGAAAAAAGCATGCAAACGAGAGGACAAAAACAACAAAACACACGCATTGAACCGCGACAAATTGTTCCACACGGGAACGAACGTGGGTTACAGCGACGAGAGAGGTGAAAAAAACAGAAAGCGCGACCCCAACGCAGGCAGAAAGTGTTACAGCGGCAACAAAAAAAACGTAACGCAATAATAGGTGGTGGGGAACCGCAATACTGACGATACCATTCGATCAGAATCGAGTCTCCTCTGGAAGAACACCGCCGCGACGAACAAAGGCTCGCCTTCTCTTCGTCTGATGCGTCGCGAGAGTTTGCGCTCTCCGCTACACTACACAGAACCAGAACTCGACGTGAAACAAAAACAATCACCACAACTATGCATACCTATACACACGAGGCACTCAAAGATAGAAATCATGCCGCATTCCGTGCCAGCTTCACGCTTCTTGCCTCGTTCTGCGAAACCAGGCTTGCCGTAGCCCACGTGCAACAATCGATTCTTGGTCGTGCTTATTTCTTAATATTTGTGGTTATCTTATTTTTGGTTTGACGGAGGACGCAAGAACAGGCAAGACAGAAGACAAAGGCCAATCGAACTGCCCGCAGAAGGCTCACCTGCGTGAGTACCGTCGAGAGCGACTCCGCCCTCGGCTGCACGGCGCCCCCCTCCCCCCCCCCCGCCCCCACCTAAGCCAACCCACCCCCCTTAACCGCCCAAGCCCTCTCCC